TATATATATATATATATATATATATATATATATATATATATATATATATATATATATATATAAGAAATGGACAAAGTCCGACAATTTTTTATTAAACACATTTTTATGTTTAACGTTCTTTTTTTTTATAGATACAAGTATTTAAGTAAATGCTCTGTTTATAATAAACAGTATTAAATAACATTTACCGGCCTGAATGTCCGAGAAATTTTCATAGAAAATATTCGTCCTTTATCTATAAAAAAGAAACGTTAAACATAAAAATGTCTTTTAATATATATATATATATATATATATATATATATATATATATATATATACAAATTAATGTGGAATGAATAAATAAATATAAAATTAAGATGAAATGAAATTAAAGAAACACAACAAGGTTTTGGAGCCGTAGGATTTGTGTTGATAATAATTTAAACATAGGGATTTTAAAATATCAGGGGATTAGAAATACGCAGAAAATTTAAAATAGCGTACCTTACAATATCCTTTGATAATATCGATAACAATAATAATGATAATACTTATTATGATGTTGCCTTAATTAACATAATATTCTTGTAACCTGTAATTTATACAGGGAACAAATAGTCTGTGTGCAGTTGAATAACAAGTTCTCTGAATGCATTAAAATAGAAATAGTAGAAAGACAATGACTTTCACACGGCTATACTTTTTGCGGGCTATCTATATAGGCTAGTGACAGATTAAAAATGTGACGGGGAAGAAGCAATGCTTCTTTCCCATTTCTTGTTCTCACCTTTTTTTTTTTTTTTTGCCCAATGTACCTTTTTCACCATAAGCCACCCTTTCCAAGATAGTCCGACTCAAAAGATGCATTCAAAATAATATACATATATTATTAGAAATCTTGTTTTTCTTTTCTCTGTTAGTACGTTTACATGAGGGTGGAGTAATTGTTATCAGCTCGGATTGAGGAATCGGAGAGCCGAGTTCGAATTACAGTCGGATCCCGTACATTCACTTACGCGGGAAAGGAATCCATCTCTTCTCCCGCCTGCTATGGTTAGTAGGATAGACTATAGCCTTTAGTTGGCAGCCCGTATAGGAGAAGGTAAACTGAATTCAAACCAACCTTAGGCTCCATCAATCTATCTTGCCCAAGAAACAAGACTCCCGCTTCTAATGGGTTATGGGTTTCGTGATTGTGATATTTACATGGATTCTTTTTATCGAGGAGTTTTGCAAATTTAATAGCAACAGAAAATGTTGATGAATTTTTAAACTTGAATACGTGTGCAGTAATTTGATTTAAATCATGACTAATTATTAAATAAATAAACTGAAGAAGACTTCAATAAACATAAATTCCAATAGAATGACTGGGTATTGTAATACTGTTCAAAAAATGGGTTTAAAAATATTCTACAAGTTTTTTTCAAATAAAATATTTCCTATAACTGTATTTGCAATATTCCATCGAGGCTCTGAGGGGGTGAGATATACAGATTATGGATATCTCTCCTGCTAGAGGACACGGATTTATATCCAGGGTCATCCACAGAATGACGCTGTCATGCTTTTTAAAATCTAGATCTCCAGAAGAAAGGCTTTGCCGGTGCCATATTGTTTTAGAGAAACATTTTTGCCCACTGCACCCTTTTCAACATAATTCAGAATGTCATTCCACCCACTTTCCAAGATCGTCCGGCTCAAATGGTACATTCCAAATAATACGTATATATTATTGAAAATCTTCATTCTTTTCCATGCGAGAACGTATATATTTACATGGATTATTATTTTTTGCAAATTTAATGTCAATGAAAAATGTTGATGGATTTTAAACTTGAATGCAATTTGTTTTAATTCATAACTAATTATTGAATAAATAAATTGAAGATTATTCGATCAACCAAAGATCCAATTGAACGCCAGGATTTTGTAATTCAATAAACAAATTTCTGTAAATAAAGAATTTCCCACTCACCTGAAACTCTAAAATTAATCCCTGCGAGAAATACGCCCTGGTTGAGGACTCCTTCTTTGAGTTATTTACGATCATATCTTTAGGTTTTTCTTTTATATTATTTACTATTATTTTAAATTTATTTTCGTACTTTATTTATTTATTGTATTTTTTTATTTATTTCTTCAGTTCTAAACTTTTTTGTGCGTGCAGCAAATTAATCGGATTTTAAATCTGTTTTTTTTTTTAATCAATTCATCCCAAGCAAGGTGATAATGCCACTAAAACGTAAGGGGATATCAGTCGTGAAAGAGAAAGAAAAGGACAGTAGAATGAAACCGGAAATCCTAAACAGGAAACATGGTATAAACCTCTACTTCTGCTGAAAAGACCATAGAGGAATAGAAACAGGGCGATAGGCGAACCTATCTACTCCTGTTGAATGGGCGAAGAAGTACATGAAAACTTATTTATCAACAGTAATTTTTAGTGATGATTGTCTCAGATAGATTTGAATTTGGGAGTACATATATATATATATATATATATATATATATATATATATATATATATATATATATATACTGTTAATGGTCACAGTTGAGTCAAACCAGGAAACAGTAGTATTAAAAAGTGCTCAATACACGTATGAAAAATAAAATAAATGTACTCTCCCGTCGACGTATGAGGATCTGACAACTTAATTGATTCAGTTAAGAATTTTTGTGCGATAAACTTAAATGGCACTTAAAACCTGATAGTGATTTACAAAGGAAGACGCATATGGAGCAAGAGTAAGGATAGTTGGATAAGATTACTGTTATATTGGCTGACCTTTTAGATCTTGCTCCCGCTTCTTGAAGACGATTCAGACCAGCTGACTGAAAACTGCTGCGTCCACTAAAACACGTTGATCTCCATTCTACCCGCTCCAAGAGTAAGCGCTCGAGGTTATATATATATATATATATATATATATATATATATATATATATATATATATATATAGATGTGTGTGTGTGTGTGTGTGTGTGTGCGTGCGCGCGTATGTGCGCGCGCACAGCGTGGGGTTGAGATTGTGCTTGAACTCCTTCTCACTAGAGCAGTTGTTCCTAATCTTTTGGGGGTCATGACCAATCTATGCATCTCTTAAATCCTGATGCCCCCCCGCCTCTGACGTATAATTATTATTCAAAAACTGAACTTCTATTCGCGGGGATGAAGCTTAAAAGGCCGTTAACTTTCCGTAATAACTGCATATATGCAATATTATTATCATTTAATTTAAATATTTTAAAATATTCATAAAATATGGTTACTAATATAAATATATATTAAAGTACATACATAATTACATATATATATATATATATATATATATATATATATATATATATATATATGAAGAAAAAATATACAGAAAAAATCAAACAAAAATCTTAATATGCAATTATGCTGTATTAATGTTAATATAAAGTCAAATATATATTAAAGTACATACATAATTACATATATATATATATATATATATATATATATATATATATATATATATATATATATGAAGAAAATATACAGAAAAATCAAAAAAAATCTTAATATGCAATTATGCTGTATTAATGTTAATATAAAGTCAACGTCGGACGTTTCGGTCTATTTTACACCATCTTCAGGACATCTTCATTAAACATAATTAACATTAGAACATATAAAATTCATATTTGCATATATATATATATATATATATATATATATATATATATATACACAGTGTAACCCGGATATAAGAGACCCGGATATAAGAGAAACCCGGATATAAGAGATTTTCTCTGGTCCCAAAGTGTTCCCATACTTACCTAAACAAAATAGACCAAACACGGATATAAGAGAAACCCGGATATAAGAGAAACCCGGATATAAGAAACTTCTTCTCCGGTCCCGACAACTCTCTTATATCCGGGTTACACTGTATATACAAATATTTTTACCTACGCATACTGCATATATAATTTATGTATTACAATGCACGCGCTTTCATACTCACAAAGACTCATTACAAAAAAAAAAAAAATCACTGTTAATAACTCTTTTTTATAATTGACCGCTGAAAAATCCAATAGCACCTCCGGTGAGGCGTGGCCCCCACATTGGGAATCACGGTTCTAGACCATTTTGACAGCCATTCCAAAACGGTTTTGCGCCTATTTCCTTATTTAATCACGGTTTAGCAAAGTCGGTACGATAAGAATACTTTATAGACATGATGTCGCCATCGTGCTACACACCTTAACGACAACAAAACCCACTCTTCTTATCTCGTTTAATGGCGGTCTATTATATCGATTGGCCACTTAACAAGTCTTTTTTGACACACTACCGTAGTCGAGAAATTAATAAAAGCCTACAAAAAAGAACATGACGCTAAGCCAGTTTGATGAGCCTACTGCGATGTGATTTAAAAAAATGTTTCTTACCACATTACATTAAAGAAATCAGAGAAAAAATAATATATATATATATATATATATATATATATATATATATATATATATATATCCTTTTCATATAAATATTGAACACTGCAATTTCAGTTTATTCTTAAATAGAGTCCAATAATTATTTCAGATCAAGTAATAAAAATGATTTCATAAATTTGTATTCGCATTGTAGCAGCAAAATAAAATCCGAAATAATTGTGGGATTCTATTTCTAGCCCTGAGGATGATACATTTAAAATGCTTCCTTCAAACTAAGCTAAACTACTACTAATACTACTACTGCTACTACTACTAATACTACTACCAATAATAATACTACTACTGCTACTACTACTAATACTACTACTGCTACTACTAATAATACTACCACTACTAATACTAATGCTACTAATACTAATGGTACCATTACTAACACTACTAATGCTACTAATACTAATGCTACTAATACTACTAATGCTACTAATACTACAAATACTTATATTACTAATACTACTAATGCTAGTATCTGTCAGAATAATGTAAATAATTTACTAATGCTACTAATACTAATACTACTAATGCTA